AAACAATTTAAAATGGCCATTATCGAAATTTTCCCGGGCGATGACTACTAAGACCAGCATTCCTCGCGGGCATCACGGCTTGTGACGTCATTATGCATAAGGTTTATTAATTTGTTTGGTCATAAAATCTGCATATTTAACTGCTACTTACGGGTGCAGTGTGGCCTCCACATTCAATAACATGCACACCTCATCTAACCATGTTTAACTAAGAAAGACTTGCAATTCTCTAGACGAAGACATCAAATTAAACAGCACAGTGTTTCACTGGCCTCAGCACATTCAGAAAATCTTCGAGCTTAGTCGGAATAGAGTCGGACATCGTCGTGACCTCGCTATGGAAGACTTGAAGAAGAGGTAAATGGAGAAGGCCTCAAAAGTGCCAGAAGTAAAACTTTCTTGACCACACCCCCCTCAATTAGTCCTCAAACTCTGGTGACCCCCCCAAAACAAACACCAAACTTTGTTGCCCCCCTCCCTATGATTTCACGGCTCGCCTACTCCCCCCCCCCCAAACCATAAATAATTAACACTTCATTTGTTATATTAGAGTAAAGGTATTTGAAGAGAAGTTGAATGGCTACAGTAAAGAGGTCGAAGCATTTAGAAAGAAAGAGGTTTGTTCATTACAAATTTTATTAAGAAACGTTTTGTTTATTTTCCGTACAGTAGTTTGATAATCGTATTTTTGTATCTATCTACCGAGCACATTTCCAAGTGTCATGCTGAATTTATTCCTATATCTTATAGATTATGGCAATTGACGAGATGACTAAAAATGTTGAGAAGTTGGATGAAATTGAAGTCTCGGTAACAAGCGCCAGAGACGAACTCGAGGTGTGATACTTGAAAGATTTGTTCTGCACTTCACTTGGTTCAAACGGAATATTGGAGAAGATAGATACATCAAGTGACGAGATATATACACGTTTTATACCTAACCAGGAACACTTTTTATACCTAACCAGGAACATGTTTTATACCTAACCAGGAACACGTTTTATACCTAACCAGGAACACGTTTTATACCTAACCAGGAACATGTTTTATACCTAACCAGGAACACGTTTTATACCTAACCAGGAACACGTTTTATACCTAACCAGGAACACGTTTTATACCTAACCAGGAACATGTTTTATACCTAACCAGGAACACGTTTTATACCTAACCATAAAAATGCCACACCAGATCCTCTGGCACTAATTGTAAAGTATAAAAAGTGTATTTATCTCCTGACTTGGATTATCCATCTACTCCAATATTCATGATACAAAACCAACTTTGTGAGCATTCTTTGAAGCTACTGAAGAACAGCAAGGACAATCTCCAGTCATGTTACTATTCTCAATCTTTTGTCAATTTTAGTTTTGATTTGGGAATAAAAAAAAATAGAAAAGTGCCCCTCGCACCCCCCATCCCCTTGACCAAAGCTAGGAAAGGTGCCCACCTCCCTGCACCCCAAGTAAATCATCCCTGCAGGGTGAAATCCCGAAGTGGTGGAAGGCATTAATCACTGTAGCACCAGTTATCTTGAAATATATTTCTTTACACAGGAACTAAACAAAGAGGAAGAACTACTGGAATGGGAACCCTCGCAGTTTCCTGTCCTTCAAGAAATGATTGCTTATAAAGAACCTTATGATAAACTATGGAGAACTGCCTTCAATTTTCATAACAAACATGAGCACTGGCTGAACGGTAAGTTCAATGACAACATATAGGTCAGTTGTGTGCTTGATTCACACAGTACAACTGAAGTTGTAAGCAGGTTGCATGCGACAGTTTTAGTCAAAAGTTGTTTGTTGTGTAAATCGGCCACTGGGTGTCTTAGTAAGCATTTGACTCGGCCACATTTCAGTTGCGTCCTTTGTCGTGATACCCTCAACGGTCAAGAAAGATGGTTAACATTCCCTTCCGTTAGATTCACAATACAAATATTTTATTTAATCCTCCAGGTCCGTTCTCTGAGGTGAACGCAGAGGAGGTTGAGGAGGAAGTGAGCAGTATGTGGAGAACGATGTACAAACTCACTAAGTCCTTCTCTGATGTTCCTGGTCCCAAGAGAATTGCTGACAGTGTCAAAACGAAGATTGATAAATTTAAAGCTCACCTTCCCTTGTTGCAAACTGTCTGTAACCCTGGCATCAGAGATAGACATTGGGATCAGGTGAGGACTGAGGACTTCATGTTTTTCTCCCGGTATACGCCGGTTTGCGGGTTTTGGCTCCTAACACTGGGTCAAAGAGAGATGATCCTTACTGGACCTTTTGAAACAACTTATAGAGCTATCGAGTGCAAATAAAGTTCAGAAAGGCTTATTAATCTTCATGCGATATTTCGTGTTTTTTTTTTTAGATGAGTGATATTGTTGGATTTGACATTAAACCTGAGGCGGACACATCTTTATGTAATATGTTAGAATACGGACTTCACAAGTGTTTAGATAAGTACGTCATAAACTCACTCGATTACCACTGAGTTCAACATTGACAAAATGTCTCACATGGAATGTTTGTTTTAGGCTGGAAGATATCAGTGTGTCAGCGAGTAAGGAATTCTCGTTAGAAAAGTCTTTGGAAAAAATGAAATCAGAATGGGCTGAGATGTACTTTGAATTTATTCCATACAGAGACACGGTACGGCTTTTATAGTACCATCATTATCATCATCAATTATCATCTATTATCATCAATTATCATCAATATCTAATCATCATCAATCACTAATCATTATCAATGATCATTGTCAATCGTCATATTCAATCACTAATCATCATCATCAATGATTATCGTGAATCATTGTCAATTATCCATCATCCATCATCAATCAATGATCATTAGCATGAAAATTATTTTTACATTAATTCTATCGTAGGGTGTGTCGATCTTGTCATCAGTGGACGATATTCAGTTGTTACTTGATGATCACGTCGTGAAGGCACAGACCATGAGTGGATCTCCTTTTATCAAACCTTTTGAAGCGGAAATTAAAGTAAGTGATATTGCACCGACCCTGAAAACCCCCAGCCTGAAAACCCCCAGCCTGAAAAGAACCGAGCCTGAAAAGAACCGAGCCTGAAAAGAACCGAGCCTGAAAACATCGAAGTGACCGAACCTGAAAAACCCCAGCCTAAACGAAAGGATTAGAATTTATACAATGGGCTATTTACGTTAACTGTGATTGACTGTATTTTTCAGGAATGGGTCGAGAAGCTAATTCTTATGCAAGATATTATCGATGCATGGCTAAAGGTAAACTAACTTTAGGTATGCAAAATAGTTTTGTCAGTTCGAAACTGTTCTCCTCTCACGTGTGACTGAGGTTCAATGATAATCACACAACTACGTATTGGAGGAATCGAACCCTTGGTCATAGAGGTGTAACACACATGCGCAAACCACGGTGTCATCAACTTTGCAATAGTGCGTGAAAGAAGCAATAATTTCATGTTTTACACTTTATTTTCTCATGTTATTCCCAGTGTCAAGCAACATGGTTGTATCTGGAGCCAATCTTTAGTTCAGAAGATATCATGGCGCAGATGCCAGAGGAGGGACGAAAGTTTGGTATAGTGGACAGTTACTGGCGAGATATCATGGCAGAGTCAGTCAAGGATACCAAGGTGTTGGTCGCCACTGGGCAAGCTAACATGTTGGGAAGATTGAATGAATCAAATGTTCTCCTCGAGGAAATACAGAAAGGATTAAACGCTTATCTAGAGAAAAAACAACTGTTTTTCCCAAGGTATGCGATGTTTTAAGCTTACTGTTATTAACTTTATTTATACTGGTTAGCTCAATCAGTTCTAAACTGTTCTTCGTTGAGTTCAAATGCCAGAACTTGGTTTTCAAATGCCAAAACTCCCTTTTCAAATGCCAGAACTTCCTGTTCAAATGCCAAAACTCCCTGTTCAAATGCCAAAACTCCCTTTTCAAATGCCAAAACTCCCTTTCCAAATGCCAAAACTCCCTTTCCAAATGCCAAAACGCCCTTTTCAAATGCCAAAATTCCCTTTTCAAATGCCAGAACTCCCTTTTCAAATGCCAGAACTCCGAGCTTTTCAAATGCCAAAACTCCATGTTCAAATGCCAAAACTCCCTTTTCAAATGCCAAAACTCCCTTTCCAAATGCCAAAACTCCCTTTCCAAATGCCAAAACGCCCTTTTCAAATGCCAAATTCCCTTTTCAAATGCCAGAACTCCCTTTTCAAATGCCAGAACTCCGAGCTTTTCAAATGCCAAAACTCCATGTTCAAATGCCAAAACTCCCTTTTCAAATGCCAAAACTCCCTTTCCAAATGCCAAAACTCCCTTTCCAAATGCCAAAACGCCCTTTTCAAATGCCAAAATTCCCTTTTCAAATGCCAGAACTCCCTTTTCAAATGCCAGAACTCCGAGCTTTTCAAATGCCAAAACTCCATGTTCAAATGCCAAAACTCCCTTTTCAAATGCCAAAACTCCCTTTCCAAATGCCAAAACTCCCTTTCCAAATGCCAAAACGCCCTTTTCAAATGCCAAAATTCCCTTTTCAAATGCCAGAACTCCCTTTTCAAATGCCAGAACTCCGAGCTTTTCAAATGCCAAAACTCCATGTTCAAATGCCAAAACTCCCTTTTCAAATGCCAAAACTCCCTTTCCAAATGCCAAAACTCCCTTTCCAAATGCCAAAACGCACTTTTCAAATGCCAAAATTCCCTTTTCAAATACCAGAACTCCCTTTTCAAATGCCAGAACTCCTTTTCAAATGCCAAAACTCCCTGTTCGAATGCCAAAACTCCCTTTTCAAATGCCAAAACTCCCTTTCCAAATGCCAAAACTCCCTTTCCAAATGCCAAAACTCCCTTTTCAAATGCCAAATCTCCCTTTTCAAATTCCAAATCTCCCTTTTCAAATGCCACACTACAACCGTGGTGTTTAGTGGGACTAAATGTTCATTATTACACCTTTCCATTCAGGTTTTTCTTCCTGTCAAACGACGAGCTGTTGGAGATCTTATCAGAAACTAAAGATCCTCTTCGTGTCCAACCACATCTGAAGAAATGCTTCGAAGGAGTTTCAAAACTCGAGTTTACAGATGACCAAGAAATTGTCGGCATGATCAGTGCTGAAAATGAAACTGTGCCATTTAGTTCCAAAATTTATCCTGCCAAGGCTAAGGTGAGATGTGTAGACTAGTTTCACAAACTGAGGCAGTGCGACACATAGTGGAAATAGACACAAGCAAAAGCATAATCGCAATGAAGAGGAACGCTTTGATGTTCTTATCAGGGATGGATCCAGCACGATCTGGTAGAGGGGTGCTCTGTCAGCTCTGGTGCTGAGTTGTGTCGGTCATGTGTGCCGCCCACCCATCAACTTGCTTCATTACTGCAAAGTTTTGCTTGACTACTGTATTTGAATTGTAGTTGTTGTTCACAGTTCGCTTATCATCATGTTATTACTCAAATTACTGTATCTCATTTTGTCTCTAATAATTTTTGCTTATCATGAAAAATAGCACCTCTCCCCCCCTGCACCCC